TTTCACAGCAAAATCAGTAACTTTGTCCTGTATACAGATGAAAGTACACATACACTAATGAACTATGCAGCTTACATTCAAAACTCTCTTCAGTTTAGCCCCTTTCTCATGAGATTTCACAGAAAGTCAGTAACTTCATCCTGTATACAGCTGAAGGTACACATACACATGTGAACTATACAGCTTAAATTGAAAACTCTCTTCTTTTGAGCCCCTTTGTCATGAAGTATCAGTAATTTCGTCCTGCATACAAATGAAGGTACATACACATAAAGAACAGATACAAAGCTTACGTCATTGCCAAAATATATTTCTTTCATTATCATATCCTTTTCACTTCCTAATAAAACCATGATAACAAGAAACTGAAAGTCACATACTCACCTTTGTTGACTACAATGCAGGTATACTTCTTGTGAATGATTTTTTCATTGATTTCAATGAAACCTCCTCCTAATGCCCCCTCTGGTACCATGACGAGATTCTTGTCTACTTTAAACTCCAGGAAGTATTATTTATTTCAGCTGTTTGTTATGGTCCTTGTTGTCATACTGGCACTACAATTGTTGCAATGTCGCTACCACAGATGAAATCTCACTTGGCAACCTTAGAGACTTAGTCTTAGCACAGCAACAGTGAGCAACACGTGCTACTTATATAGGTAGCAAGTTGAAATACTTTTCACGTGGCAGTTTAGTGAGCATGTGTGCTACTATATAAATACTTTATAAAATGCGCACATGTATCTTTAGACATATCAAAAAATATATTAACACGTTAAAATAATATGACATGCCTATATAAAGATCTAGCCATTTCTAAATGTACTCTGCACTAGACGACACTTGTGGACCACAGAACGTAGTAAGCTATGCGATGTACAAAATAAATGCATGATCCAGGCACTACTTTGCACTAGTGTGCATTGAGTGCCTCGACTAGCTGCACCCGTGTCGTGTAAACGTTCAGTAAACTTATAGCTGATCGGTACAGTAACTCATAAAAACACCCATAATTTTCATTTTATTCCTAATCTCAGTAATCAGATGTCTGAGTCATTTGATGCACCTACCTGTCCATCCTCTCCACTAACACAGCCAGGTGTTTGTGCCTCAGGTACATGTAAATGATGTAGATGTACTACATTCATCACTTCCTCCACCAGTGCAACTGCCACCTACTTTACCCTCACAAGTACAAATAGCTTGCCTGATGCAGAGGTAGATGCACATGAACCAGTCATACCACCACTGGTACAGCTACCTGAATTTCAGAACATAGATGCTTTTCAAATAAAAACAAGGAGCTGTAGCAGATGCAATTTTCACTAACATGCTATGACTTGTGTTTACTAAAACGGAAATGTTGACTTGCAATGTGAGGGGTGTAAGAGGGAAAAACAGTATGAGAAACGCAGAATGGATAATAGTAAGGCTCTTGCCTTCTGTCACTACCCCAAGCACTGTAGGGCCAAGATTAAAGCAGAGTGGCAGGCATGTGTTGAGGCTATAGACGCCGCAACTAGAATCATTAAAAGATGCACTAAAAGCCAATACTAAACATGACGAACATTACTAGAGCACTAGACTATATTATACCTTGTATTAAATGCATAGTCAGAGTAAATATACCTTATAATAAAACATAACAATTACAGAATAATATGTAAGTAATAGATATATCACGCCTCGGAGGTCTGTATCTGATTGACAGGGACTGACCACGAAGGCACGTAGTGCCTGAGGGGAGGTGCCTGTAAATCAGAGACAGCCCAAGTAGGCATGTTATACGTAATATATATCAATTTCAGTGGGCAGATCACATTTTACTCATGCGCAATAGCTAGCAGACTACCACATGGCAAGAAGAGATGGCTACCTTGACAACCAGCAGTCCTCCTCGTTGAAAGAACTTGAAAAAAGCATCACTTAAGCTTATAAATGAAGAAACATGTCATTAGCAGTGAATAAATTGATCCAAACCGACCTAATTCTGACAGATTAGGAGTTATAGACTCAACAATCTACGGGCTATGGTCAACCACACACAATGGCTGGCGGCAATGCCATTGTAAGGAGTCTCACACTGATGTTGACAAGCCACATTGGTCTGGCTTTCGAGCCTACTACCTGAGGATATGTTGAAGCCCGAGTGCTCTGATGAATTGCTTATCACTGGCTTCCATAGTATTGCTTGAGCTCATATTATTCTTTTATTAATTAATATAAAAGGTATTTAAATGTTAACAGCTACAGCCTGTATCAAAAAAAAAGGCTTATAAAGTTACGTTTTGTTAGCTACATGCAACTGTACCACATATGCAGCACCTGTGGTAAATTTGATCCGCCCTCTCATAATGATATATGTAGTATTATAGTATTTCATTGCATGTAGTTAATATCCTGATGCAGCTCCTGCTTTTATAATTCCTGGCATAACTAAATGAATTGTTAATGTACTTTTTACACAGAAAAGCAGTCATTGTCAATCATAAATGCTTTTTCTCGGATTAGTTCGTCCTGGTTTATTGGCTGACTACAGTTCTAAGATGATACTTCATTGAGCACCATACATTCTCTATTGGGTTAAAATCAGTACTTTCAGGTGGTGTTTGCCACTAATATATTCCTATTGGTATTAAAATTTGTTTACTATAGCTACTCATTTGCTTGGGTTCATTGTCGATTTGCAATCTGTCATCCTGGCCTTTGTTTTCAGGCCCACTGTAAACGTTTCTGCTTATTTGTCTATCTCATTAATTGGCAATACTGTGGTTGTGTCGCAAAAAACCTAAGTACCTTTGTGCTCTCTTTATGGTTGAAATTGATGGTACTTAATTGGGCCACTGAGCAACCATTCTGTCTCTTATAATTCTAGCAGTCAATTTATCATTCTCAAACCATTGCTTGATCAATGAAAATGATCTGCTCCTTTCCTATTATAGGTTTATCTTGTTTCTTGGTAAGTCAAAACTGTTCCATGTAGCTCCACTTTCTTTACTTAATTGTAAAGTGTAACTCTGCTCACTTTTGTCCCTTCCTCTTCAAGCCTCTGCTTAAGTTTACAAATGAAATAACCTTTGTTTCTTAGTAGTACAATTCTTCCTCTAATTTAAAGTGACAATCTTGGCATTACTGATGACTATTACAAGTACAACTACAGTATACTACTTGCGCAGTACATGTATTATTGCTTTTATAGTCACTGGACATGGTGCATGAATTTGCATGTCTCTTAATGTTAACTATCTATGTAAACTATGCACTAGTGTAATAATTCACTTAGCCTTGGGCTGCTGTATTTCCATAACTTTGATAAAAATCAGAAGCACTGCTCAAAACTTAATGAATTACAAAACTAACTTAAACTGAGGTTTTAAATTTAAATGCATTAATAATCTATTGTGGCCATGAGTAAGCAAGTACACTAAAACTGCCAGAGTACAGCTACTGAATACCAGAATCAATAATGAAGATAATTAATTTCAAACGTAAAATAAGAAATTAAATGGATAGTGCCTGTAATTAGCGAAAGCGACAAATATTTTTGTGAAAAGAGATCACAGGGCAATAGTTTTTAAAATTTATATACATGTATGTACATGTAATAGGGACAATGTAAATGCTAATGCTCCTATAATCTGTGATTTTGCAGTGCAGGGCATGGTGATACATAGCCATTTTTACATCCTAATAATCGTTCCAAAAGTACTGTATAGGTTGTATATTTTACAGTGTTTCATTTTCGCTAATTTCACTTTTTAAAAAAATTTGTGAAAACTTTTATCTATGAAAATTTTTTTTTTACCATTGTATTATGGTCAGTAGAAGAAAAACGCAAAAATGTTTTTTTGTGAATAGGTTAAAAGGTAATATTTGTGAAATACTTTTCCTGGGAAATATACTCCCTATACAGTAATATACAAATAGACATAGCAAGCCATTAGAAAGGCATAAACCTGTCTGCTCCTCTATTGTACATTGTCCTTCTTTCTTGCACTGGATGATCCATGTCCAGCAATCTCAATGGAACTTCCGGTCACCAGCCGTTAATTATATTCATGATGGTCATAATTATATTCATGATATTTATAATTGTATTCATTGTTTTAATTAGATTCATTTATTGCAATTGTCATGACAACGATATACAATATGGCTGCGACTAGAGCTAAGAGGAGCGGTTCTGTGAAAGAAGTTGGTTATTTCAGGGCTCTGTGCTCAGGAAATGATGATGTTGAGAGTGAGGAAGATGATACTTTAGTTGTAACAGATGATGAAGGTATTTATGAAGTAGAAAGACTTGTAGAAAAGAGGACCAGGAAGGTAATTGACTTAAGCAGCTTTCCTCCTGCTTGATTTACATTACTTTTCTGATTGCATCGTTATTAGAAGACAGAATATCTTGTATTGTGGAAGGGTTACCCTAAAGAAGATGCTTTGTGGCTACCATCAAGCCACATCACTCCCTTAGCTATTAAGTAAGTGAATTGCCTGTGTGTGTGGTTCACATTATTCATTGAACTAGGTTGTTCAATGACCCAGAGCCACCACTTCGCTCTGTTTTAGATGCCGTTAGTGCATTTTGTTTAGCTTTGAATAGCAGTTTGAGAGTGGGACTCCTTCGTAAACGATCTATTCAACTGGAATTTCACCGACATGTTTTTAATTTCTTATTTAATGGTAAAGGTACCAAAGTCACCAAGAAGCCAGGACGTCTGTACCAGAGAAGTGATTTTGTAGAACCCTATTTTAAAGACAATCATTTTAAGTATTTCAATAAGTATGGTGAATGCTGCTCTGTAGTATTTCCCATATATATGGACAGTTCAGTGAAATTTACACAATTGTCACATAAAGATGGGATTAAAACATTCACAGAATTGTTGTCTGCTAAACTTGTAAAGATGTATACTTAAAAAGATGCCTAAAATAATTTTGATGATAATAGTTAATGATATTCATGCATGCGAGGCTGTTGAGTCATGTTATAATATGGCAACCACCTCGTGACTATAGCTTTAGATGTCAACTTCTTCCTCTGCTTCTTCTCTCCTTCTCTTGGCAAATATCTCTTTACTCCAGTACTCCTTATCTAGTTTTCTATATCCCCTCTTTACTCTCTTTGTACTGGACAGAGCTTCTTTTCTTGCCGCAGAAAGCAGGACTTCCTTTGAAGGGTCAAAGTGGTTACTGGAGAAATAGCTCCTTCTAGCAGAATCATTATTCTTCTCCACTCCTGTAAGGAATAAGTATAGAGTATATGAATGTACAGTTATGATGTATTTTATAACCTTGACCAGAGAAAGGTTTGATAGAGCCGTATCGTCTCATCATTGCTGGTATGTGACTGACCATCAAGTGCATATATGGAGTGATGTTACTTTTCGAATGCCCGTCCAGAGGAATTGACGTAAAATCATTAATCCATCTTTTGGTCTAAAGGAAGCACTTCAACTAATGAATTGTATACACGTAAGATGTTACCATTTTCTCCAATTCATTTATTTCACTTCCTGCTACATTTAATTTTGTTATTATGGCATAGATGCTTCCAAAATCCTATAAAAATAGTTAATAATTATGGTTTAAAATGGTTAATAATTATTGTATAACGTACTATCCACAGTTGTTGTATGGCTGGGCCATTGTTTGGTACAATGCCTGGTATAAATGGAGGGAGTTTAAGCAAAAGTTTCTTCGTATCTGCTCCTCGAAGAGATGTCCACTGTACTTCTCCTTTAGTATCCTTAGAACGCCAGATCTATAATTATTTTCAAAATGAGGTACAATGTACGTTTCAATGTACGTACGTTTATTTGATTCCTTACTCTGAAAGTAATGCCACATTCTCTAATTAATTGTAGGAGCTTTGCTGTCTGTTTCGACTCATCTTTGTGAATTCGCATATCTGCTGTCATTGCTGCCATAACAACGTTCCTGATTAGTGCATCACTTATCCGAAGCAGTAAGTGAAGTTCATCAACAACTATCTGTCTCATGCACTCATCATTTACAATATGTATGTTTTTTAACCTTATCAATTTCTATCTTTATGATGGGCTCATGAATTACCCCATATAATCCTTTCTTTGAATGTTCACAAAGAGTCGGTAGTGTTCTTTTGTTTAGTAACTGCACCTGTGTTGTGTCTATTGTACATGTACATGTACATGTATTATAATAATTGTTGTTATTGTACCTATACCTTTGATCTTTTTTGATATCACAGAACAAACAAGCATAATTTGAGTGTGCTGCATTTAATCCCATCATTAAGAGCAAAAACTTAAATGGTAATTACTAATAGTTAATAACCACCAATTTTGTTATACCTTATAGTCTCCTCCAAAAATAATATCAAGCGTAACATCAATTCCATTTACTTCAATGACACTCTTTTCAATTAAGTCATTGATATCATCAATCACTGGAGCAAAACCTTCCTTAAGTGTCTTATAACCTTCGTTGCCGGACAACATGGCAAAGGTATGATTTTCTAAAATACTTGTATTTTGGATTTTATTTTAATTAATACATGTACCTTCAGATGAGAGAGAATTGTTGTCAACAAAAGGAAGGCTGAAAGACAATAAAATGTATGAAGATGAGCGATAGAATGGAGCTCCATCTCCACTAATCTTAACAGTAACTTTTGACGTAATATGATCATCCTATTATATTGAATGTTACTTTTATTCATTAGAATTAACATTGTAACTTACACGTACTTTTTTCATTAAAATCTCAGCTAAGTATTCTTTTAGAGATCTATAGCAACCAGAATGTGGTTTTGGGAGACGAAGGATTGGTACATTAGAAGATATGTTACTTCTTCTTGTTTTTACTGCACATAAACGAGGGAGTGAAGGATGCAACATTGACAACTCGTGATAGAACTCGTCTGAAATGTTGAAAGCATCAAGAAGGTAGAGAACTTCATTTATTAGTCCATGACTCTTATGGTGACTTATTTCAGGTGACGCAAATTCAATACTTATTAATTCATTACTGTTTCTGGTTTTAACAATGATAGACTACACGTCAATATTAAATGAGTCAAGGAACCATAGTGCTTTTTTACTGGCCTCTCTTAATGTCATTAGCTTTCTTCTACGCTGGCGTTCTCCTACTTCATCAATCGATTTACCAGTGTTAGAAGGAGGGTGGTAAGTAACATTATTTAAGCTTGTCAATAAGTCATTTATTACTTCCTCTTTTTCTTTCAACTCAGACCTATAGAAAATTAGATATAATATCACCACATTACTAAAATGAACCTTAAAGCAAGATTATCATCCTGAAGAGATTGAATAACAGAATCTTTTGAGGCTACATCACTTCGATTAATGTCTACCATGCACATGCATTCTAACAAACTTTGCTTTTTCTTCCTACTGCACTTTTCTACTCGGCTTTTCAGTTTTCTTCCTTTTGAACTTATTCTTGCCTCTAGATTGCTCCCTTCTATGAACTGATATGCTGTTTGGACAAGATTGCAATGCTGCAGCTGTTAAGTTGATGGACATAAGTGATGTTGAGATTCTTTTTCTCCAGTGTCCACAGATACAGGAGCTTATTGGGCATTTGTAAGCAGCACAGTGTGCTTGGAGATGAAAAAGATCTGTATTTATTTGCTGAGGATAGCCTTACAGTTGCTTGCATCTTGCAGCTGGAATGACTTGCTTGAATAATAATTGCTTACATAATGCGGT